CTTAAATCCACCACTGGGGGTCTATAACACCTCAGCCTCACCGTGAAGCGTGTGATGCAAGCGGCAGGGAAACACAGAATTACTCAAAAAGCTTATAAATACAGTTAATTAATCATAATATTAAAGTTCTATTTTGTACAAATTAGAGGCAGCCCTAGTTGGAAACTACTCTGATTGGTTGAGGAGTTTTGGTGTATGGACTGGAACGTGTGAGAGTGTAGTGTACAGGGTTGAATTCTATATGTGTCGCTGGGCCCATAAGGACAATCAATGCCGTTTGCACTGATCACTAGGTCACACAGGAAAGAAGATATAAATAAAAAAGTAAAATAAATTAAAATTTAAAGCACACGAAACAGACAGTGGCGTTGGCCTATCTAGAAGTCCTGACCTCGGATTCGCTGAATCGGGAGGGTTTTTTTTTTTTTTTTTTGGTCGGGGTGTGCAGGGGCGGATCCAAAATTTTTCAAACGGAGGGCACAACATATTCAGAATAGAAAGTGAGAGTGCTAATTTCAATATATACCTTGAAATTTTAAAATTTAATGGCAAAAAGTGGGGGGGGGGGAACATTCCCGTTCCCCTACCTACTGGATCCACCCATTAGATACGCCACTTCGAAATAGAAAGAACCACACACAACGCACGTGTCGGGTGTGAAAGTTCATGTGTGTGGAAAATGATGTAATGTCCTAAATTTCTCGTGATGGATTTTTTTTCTTTTAATTGATGTCAAAGATAATATGTTCGTTCACTGAATTATCCTCATAGAAGTGTGTTAATATGGTGAGCAATTATTATTTAGCTGATTTTAACAATTCTTTAAATTTTGAGGTTAAAAAATAAAAAACCTCGAGCCTCTAGGCCTAGGCCTTATTGATCAACCATGCTTGATTTCGTGAGGCGGGCGACAAAGATTTAACAGCACCACCCATTATCGTCCAAGGACAATTGGACCATTTTATGAACGATATTAAATCTCATCTAAACTTTACATAAATAAAGACCAGCAAACTGAGCAGACTTTAGTATTTTATAACTACGATTCTAAATGTTCAAAGAGTTTTAAAAAGGTATTTTAAGACATGGCGGAGGTAGGCCTAATATGTTTTTATGTAGGCCTAGGCCCTACCTTATTTTTGAAAGTGCAATTTGTGTTTGTAAACTACATTTATAAAAAAAATAAATAAATATAAAAAGTGTAAACTAAAATCAATTAACTTTTTTAGTTCTTTTTTTAAAAGGAAAAGCAAGATTAAAACTGTAGGTGTTATGATGGGAATAGTAGCCTAGCCCCCCCCCCCCCAGTCTAGGCTCTGTTTCATGTTGGTAGAGTAGAGTTGGTATTTATTTACTCTGAGAAAGAAGGATGAAATATAAAGGTGATGGACTTTTAATCATTTGCATAGGCATTTGATGTGATTTATCAGTTTTGTATTTAGTCAACTAAGCTCAATTAAGTTGAATACAAAGTGGCTGCTATAAATTGTTGACTACTGTAAAAGAAAGTCAGTTGTCTAATTTGTGAATACTTACCTGGATTAATCTCTCCCAAAAGAGAACACCCCTCAAAAACAAAATGGAACAGTCTGCCCTGGCGCGAAGCACAAGCGATCCCGCAACCACTCATACTGCGACCGTGCTGGGGTTTTTTTCATTGATTGTGTGAGGAATGTTCCGCTTTATAGTATAGAGAATACTGCACTATTGATTGTTGTTATTTTGAAATGTTCATGTATAAAACATTGCTACTATGAAAGTTCACAAACGTCGAATTGTAATAATTGTAGTTTATTCAGTTGGACAATTTCTGAATGAACAACCCGAGTGATAAATACAAAAATTCCTTGGATAGAAAATTAACGATGAATTAGTCAATTTACTATGCTTAATTGATGATGAATGGTGTCAGTGGGATGTGGAATAAATTACTTCCGGGACATACCAAAATGTTTCACCGTTTCCATTGAATAGACCTTTTTGAGTTTGAATCAAACTCAACTGAGCAGACAGAACAATACATGCATGACCAGCAAACAAATGTGTTTTCCCACAGACGCACTGGTTTTAACATATTACACTATTATTTTGTGGGACATTAACAACAACGTCCAAGGGGCAGGCGGCGGCGGCGTAGCTAGGTGTGAAAGGGTCTTAGTGCAAGATGAATTGCCAGGGCCTTTGTTGTGATATGGGAATTCCCAAAGGTCTCAGAAAATTCATCATCAAAAAGCTTTTGTAAACTAAATGTTCATTAACAAGTGTTACTCCATGGTGCATGTTCATTGAACCATTATATATGTTTAAATTGTGTGTTTATGAATACTACAGGTATTCTTGCCTTTTTTTCGTTTTAATATTGTTATAATGGCAACACTGCCTTGTTGAAAAACAACCTTGGGTGATATAAGCTTCCGTGTGTAAATAAAGATTTTATTATTATTATTATTATTATTATTATTATTATTATTATTATTATTATTATTAAATTGACGGGGTATCCATGGGTTCCCCTTTAGCCCCTGTTCTGGCAGATATGGCTTGAACAGTATAAAGGTCCCAGCGTCTTATTTTATAGACGTTATGTTGATGATATTTTTTGTTTATTCGCAATGAGGAGGACGTTCCTATATTTTTTAAATATCTTAATTCACGTCACCCTAACATTTAGTTTACTTTTGAGAAACAAGTTAAACAAAAACTTCCTTTCCTGGATGTATTAATTTCCAAATCAAAACATGGGCTAGCATCTACTTCTGTCTTCCGGTAACCTACACTTACTGGGCTCCTCATTAATTATTTTAGTTTTTGTTCATTCAATTACAAACTCGGACTGGTCCGGACGCTAGTTGACAGGACATTCAAAATTAATTGTAGCTGCATGGGTTTTCATGAAGACCTTAAAACCTTAATATCCATCCTAAGGAAAAATAGCTTTCTGCTACACATCATCAATAAAATAATTTTGAAATATCTTGATTCTGTATGCTCCCCCAATAAACGTTCAAAACCACCTGAGGCCATTGGAGATGCCACACCCACCACCACCCTTTATTTCAAAATTCCATATATCGGCCCCTTTTCTAAGATTGCCTCGCATAAAATTTGTTTGCTTTCTAAGCAATTATGTAATGATTTTGAATTTAAGTTGGTTTTTTCTTCATTTAAAATAAAAAAATTGTTTTCAGTGAAGGATCCTGTCCCTCCCGGGCTCCGCTCTCGTGTTGTATAAATTTGTGTGTGCTGACTGTAATGCCAGCTATGTTGGAGAAACTAGCCGACACTTCTAAACACGTGTGCGCGAGCACTTGGCAATGGATAGGAACTCTTACATATTAAAACACCTTAAGAATTCACGCAAATTCATGCAAACTTGTAGCAAGGACTGTTTCCGTATTCTTGACTCCGCCCCATCAATTCATCATTTTAAAATAAAGGAGGCATTACATATTCAATGGGAGCAGCCCTCACTCAACAAACAACTTTACCATGTTAATTTAACTTTGTCATTCTGATTTTACTTCATTCCGTTTACCATTAATTATACATTGTTTCTATTCATGATCTTGTGTTCACAACTTGATACGGTTGAATTACATATAGATTGACGTATCACAAACTTCACTTCGTTTAAATAAGATTGCCTATATGGAATCTCTGTACGCTGATGATGACAGTAGGATCTGTCGAAACATGTATGTAGCGTAAGGCCTAGCAATGGCTAGGCCTAATTATGTTTTCAGGCATTGCCTGAAATGATCGTTCTCAAAAGTATCGTCATATTTTTGAATTTTATTTATAGTGCATTATTATTATTTTTTTTTAAATTATTATTTTTATTATCATTATCATCATAAAAATACAGTACTTCTTTTCCCCCACTCCTACATTGAAGGCCTAGGCTAGTAATAAATACTAATGATAATCGGATTTGTAACTATTCTAAAGTAATCAAGAAAATTGGTGCCACATCAAATTTAACAACTGCAGTGGGGTGGGGAGGTGGTGGTCAGGGAATTCAAAATAGAAGGGCCAGGGAGGGATTTTTACAAATGACAAAAAAAAGTAAGTAAATAAATAAGAATGTCTGTTCTGTGCTTTTTGATTTTAATTTATTAATTTTATAGTAATTTTTCCTATTTTATGTTTCTTTTTTTTTCTGTTTCTTTTTCGGTTTGGAGAGCCACTTGACAGTATTTTAGTATACTCTTGGTTATCCTGTCTTCCCGAGTTTGAAACTGTTTTGTGTGTTCAAATTAGACAAAATAAATGAAATGAAGGTGAAGATCACCTCAGACCCACCATGGTGGGGGCTGATAGCTGATGTAATAAGTAAATTTATTATTATAGTACCTCTAGATGTCCGGAAATGGCACTCTCAAACTTAAATTTTAATATAATTTCATTTTTCCCCCATTTCTTTTATAATTTTGAAAAAAAAGGAGGGTAGACTGGCTGGGGAACCCATGAATACATCATTGATTTGCAATCAACACAGTAATTCTAAAAAAACCGAATATTACTGAGGGGCCTGCTGGCTGCTTTATTCTTCAAAAATATTAAGTTGGAAATTATTTTAAATTATTATATTTAGGTCTATATATGAATGGGCCCCTAATAGTCCTGGGCCCCAGTGCTTTGCACTGACTGCACTGCCCTGTAGCTACACCAGTGGGGAAAGGGATTAGCTTAAAGGTCTGCATTTTGCTGTATCTACATAGGGCGATATTACTAATTTTTCTTTTCTATAGCTTGATGATAATTTCCTTCTCAGATAATTTCAAAACAAAACACACACACGCAATGATAACTTCCTTGATTTTTAGGCGAAGTACCTAGCTCAGATTGTTGTTCTCGGGGCTCAAGTTGTTGGACGTGCATTTACCAAAGCTTTGAGGCAAGAAATTCAGGGTAAGCCAAAATGATGGACATGCAAGGATTTCATTTTGTTAACAGCATTCATTAAACTTTTCCTATTTTATATTTTAATGCTGTAAAATCTCGAATGGAAGCCCAGTGGGCTTAATCTTGAGAAGGAGCCTATCGCCGAAAAGGAGCTCCCTCCCCCTATCTTAGTTTTCAAAAGTAATTTCTAAAAGAAGTCCATCTCGAAAAGAAGCCTATGGGCTTGTAATCAAGATAGTATAGACTTTCGTTTCTTTTGGTTATCTTTCATTATGATACTCATACGTATCATAATATCATTTTATTGTATTAGGATAGTTAAAATACAAAAAAAAAATTTTTACAGACTTTTGAATTACCTAACTGAAAATGTTGTATAGTAGCAATTCCAAATTTTGAAAAGAAGCCCCTTTTTGGTTTGCAAAATTAATCTTGAAAAGAAGCCCATCCAGGGGACTAAATGATATTATGGCTGTAGGTTGCGTCACCGCTGCCTTAACCACTCAACCATTTGACTCGCCTCCCGGTGTATGGGATTGTCCCCCAGTGTATGGGATTGTCTCCCAGTGTATGGGATTGTCCCCCAGTGTACTGCCCAATCACCACCAAAAGGACCCGTATAAGTCTTCTTCAGACTTGTGTGGGTTATCCTGGGTGTTTACACCAAATAAATACAATCCAATCCAACTTGCTATACTATCAATTGGTTGCCTCCTGTAGCATTCCTGGCCCTAAACTGTATACAATTTAAAGGTTATTCATTTATATTGCGCAAAATAAGAGTCTATGTGCAGAACAAGTGATAAGATGTAATTTGAAAAACAAAAAGGGAATAATGATACACTAATAATATGTTAACAAAATAATTGATGTGTACTGTGTTATTCTTAATATTTACACAGCAAGCCAGGCTGCTGCTCAGAGGGCTGGTGGAGGGAAGCGAGGTGCCAAGGCTGCTGCCACCAATAGTTTAATGGGCATGACGACGGAAGAAGCACAGAAAATACTCAACGTCTCCAAACTTGATGAAGAGGCTGTAAACAAACAATATGAACATTTATTCAAAGTTAACGATAAAGCCAAAGGAGGATCATTTTATCTGCAATCGAAGGTCAGTTTGAGGTCAAATCAGCAACTGCTAAGATAACGCCTTCACTAAGGAGCATCCTTTTTTTAAAATATTTTTATGAGGGTACAAAACATACTCTAGGGAAGAAGAGTCAACAGTGTATGTACTATGCTACAAAAGTGAAAAAATAATTTTAAAATGATATCTTTTGTGTACACTTTTTTGAGGGGGAGGGGTCACAGAAAATAATAAGTTTTGAAAAAATTGGATGATTTTTAAAGCCCTGTCTAGAAATGTTCACTTTGACATAAAGGTTGTATTCCACTGTTTTTGTTAAGCCATTGCTATGTGCACATTGAAAAAAAATCAATGTGCACAGGTCTGTGAAAATTATGACAAATATATGTGTTTTGCCTGTATTGGATAAAAAGAATTCAAATCGCACAAATTACCACAGGAGTTAAATGTCGCACTATACTTATAATGTCGACAGGGCACTAATGATGACGATCATAATTTTAATAATAAAATAATAAAAAAGTAAAGGTAGGAGAATAACCCATTTTACATGTTCGCATGGCGGATAAAACTTGTTATTTATATTATTACAACTGTTATGTGTTTTACTTAAAAATTTTACGCTGCCTAACATTATCATAAATATTTAGAAGTTTTTATATTTTATTTAAAAATGTTGCCAGGTATTAATGATTATCTTTGTGTATATTTTTAGGTTGTTAGAGCAAAAGAAAGGTTAGATCAAGAAATAGTTGCAAGTAAAGAAGCTGCTTCCAGGAAAAGCATTAATCAAGGAGAAGAGAAACCAGGAACATGATGGATCCGGGATACTGTAGTTCGGGAAAAAAAAAATCACCTATAAGTTACTCTGTTCCCAGATTAAAGCAACATTCAAACATGTTGCATTGGGAAGAAAATAAGGAAAATTAGTTGGAATAGCAATAACAAGAACTATGAAGAAACTAGTGACAATGAAGAAAATCTATTGTGTCAATGTAGAGACTATTGTGACAATGAAGGAACTATATTGTGACAATGAAGGAACTATATTGTGACAATGAAGAAACTGTATTGTGGCAATGAAATAACTATTATATGTGACACCGAAAGGTCCACTGATTAATCTCAGATAAGATAGTATAATACATAATCCAAGTATCGAAATGCACGCCATCATGTTGGGATTCAATATTTCAACATTAATCTATAGATGAATCAGGAATGATGATGACATAATTAATGTTGAAATATTGAATCCCAACACGATGGAATGCATTTTGATACTTGATGTACAGGTATGTATTGTACTATATTATTGTGACAATATAATGAAGAAAATATGTTGTGACAATGAAGAAATGATATTGTGACAATGAAAATGAAGATTGACACTGTAGCTTGATGCTTCTGAGTGTCCAGTAAAATTGGGTCTCACATGGTGTGTACTCATATAGGCGACCACCTCTCATGAGCAACCACTACACTTGAGGCTGGTCGCTTACAAGAGATTCACTTTAGAACTTTTGAAAAATCTTGACTAAACTTCCTAAGGCTTATAATTAGGCTCAGTTTATAGTGTGGAAAGATGTATTGTCCCATGAAAAATACCCCAAAAATCATAAAAATCACTTTTTGCCCATTTTGAAGTAACATAAAAATTATCATTACCCATCATTTTACAGTGAAAAATGAAACGCATCCGGTCACTGGAAATGTTTTATTATTTTAATTATCCAGTTTAAAAATTTGCTAAAGTAGAACTGCAAAATGAGCAAGTTAATTTCAAAATTATTTTAAAAGGTTTTTTTTGCCATTTTTCAAGGGAAAATATATCTTGAATCCATCCTATAACTTGAAATTTAGTTTGGAATTTTTACATCAGAAATAAATAATTATTAATAATGTTATTGGAGAGTTGCTTGCTGTGGGAGGAAAATGCACTAATAGGTATAACTAATGGCTTCAGTGTTGAGGTTGATGTAGAATACAGATCGCTCCCTAATTCGAGACAACCTTTGAGACATGAAAATTTGGGGTGGTCTAGGGGTCTGTCTGTAGAGTGGATTCGGAATTACATTGGAGAGTGTGCCATAATTTAATATTTCATTGTTTCACTCTTCTTTGTTACCAATGAATGTTTGCATCTAAACCATTCGTTTCCACAATGCTGAACTCCCATTTTCCCCAAAATTAATTAAGACTTGATAGGCTCAGTATTGTAGGAACACAGAAGGGGCATAGGCTTTGTTTTCCACTAAATGAGCAGTGGTAGCACCAGCGGAGTTCATGAGGAGTAATTTTTGGTGATACTAAGCCATAAAAACTCGCCCCATGAACCCTGCCAGGGATTTTTATTCCAGAACATTGAGGCTCTAATCGGTCCTTTGATTCGGACTCTCTGATGACAAATATGTGAAGCCACCACTGCAAATGAGGAAAATTGCCACCATTTGTGACAGACCTATTAAGTAGGGCTTTACTATTTAAATACAAGAATGATCAATAAATTTCATTGTGCTATATATGTTACAGTACAATAAATGTATAACAAAAAACATTCAATAGTCAAATGTGTACTTTTATGAATAAATTAAATGAAACGTTTCAGAAATAGATTGTTTTTTGTATATTGGCTTGTATACCTGCAAGTCTCAAAGTGCTCAAGGCATAAACCTAAGCCAGTCGCGTCCAACAAATGTGCCAGCTACTCGTCTGTCCACTAACGGAGATAATTAGGCCCGGAAACCCTGAAAAACTACTACTCGTCTTGTATATTGCACCATCCAGAGTGTCACTCAAACTCAAAAACTGACCAATGAGAATAGGGCCTGGAACATGCGCATGCCTAAGCAGCACACGTGTTGTCCCATAAACGTGTTTACAATGTTTTAACGCTGTCGTTTTGTGGGACGTCTCTTGGCATCAATATCCAAGGGGTGGAGATTAATGGAAAGATCACCACACATGAGCTCATACTGCAGCCCCAGCAGCTGTTCAGGGCACAGGACCTCCATGGAGGAAGCCTGGATGTCCTGTCGGGGAAGAGGCCATCATTTTTTGTTGGGGGACACTGTTTTGATAAAGCATTTCTACATTCTGAAAGTGGCATTTCGAACAAATAAGTGGTGTCTATTATTAAAACTTTGAGTGGCATGTCTGCAGTAGTGGATCATTGTCGGTGACCATTGATTTCTCATTGGGGCACTTGGTCCTTTTGTCGAGGAATTTCTCGTGTCACCACACTTGTGGTGTACTCAGACTATATTGTTTCTGAAATGATACAAGTTGAGGCAAAATGTACGTACAGTACAAGTAATGCTCGTGCTGAATCCCCGCATGGTAAAGAATGCTTGTGCTGTAAAACCTTGTACCGAAGTGCACCACTTTGTACTGTCCTGTTTCTTCCTGAAATAGCCACTGACGTTGTTGACTTGTTTTTAATTGGTACAGCAGAAAAGTTATTTAAAAAAAGAGTGGAAGGTTTGCCTTGCTTGCTGGTGGCATTAAGTAGGGTAATCTATAAGGTGAAAGTTGTGATCAGCGGTGGCTCCAGAAATTTGCTGATTAGGGGGGGGGGGGGGTTTAGTCGACTACAGTGTCGACAGAAATTTGCTGATTAGGGGGGGGGGGGTGTTTAGTCGACTACAGTGTCGATCAGGGTCCTGGAATAAAACTCTCTAGGCAGGGTTCATGGGGAGAATTTTTATGGCTTAGTATGGCCTAAAATTGTGCTTTTAGATTTAAAAGCAATCAAAATAATGCTTAGGCAAATAAGTTTTTCTGGTCCGATGATCTGGAGGTTGTGGCGATCCCAGGCCCTGATCTTTGTCTGGCGCTGATCTCCGTCTGGCGCCACCACTGCCTGTGATATATCTGCCACATTATATGTATGGTTTATAGCCACAGCTAATAAACATCTTCACAAAACAAATAAATACACTAATTTAATATCAACCATCTTATCACTCAGTCAGGTTATGTTAACTGTTGATATCTACAAATAAGGCATATTTTCAAGGTGTTTATATTAATTAAAAAACAAGTTCAGTATTTGTTTACAAAATGAGAACTTGCATTGTTTATAAACTCAGATCAGTTAGGATCATTAAAACTTCTGATGAGTTCTCTAAAGATATGTTATTCTAAATATCAATATTACATGTAGTGATTCAAAAAATGTATTTTAACATATTCATTTTATATAAGACATCCTGTTATTGGCCTTTGGCTGTTGGATGTATCATGAAATAAAGAAATGAAGAAAAGGGATAAAAGCACAGGAGAGTATTATGCAGACAGCCAATCATAGGGCATACAGCTCAGGATGTTTAAGGACATGTGATGCGAGTGGGTGAGTGGTGGTAGTGAACAAAAAAAAATCTATCCACCCTATTTTTTGGGGCCTGTTACACCAACATAACATTTTTTTTTTGGCAAATCTCTGGCATTTTGCTAAAGTTAGTAATCTAATTGTAACTATTATACCAGTACACAATTTGTTTGTCTATTTCATGTAAAAAAATATTTAAAAAATTATCAGAAATTAATTATTCAAATTCTATTCTATTAAAAAATCAATTCAAGATCTAGAAAAGTAAGATATCTTATGTCTGACTTTTCTAGATCTTACTTTTCTAGACACTAGAAAATTTGAATAATAACCATGATCACAATTTTATTAGAACAACAATTGTTATTAATTCTTGATTCATTTACCTGATGACAAATATCCTTTTTGTTGAAAAGCTAATATGAATCAAAATACTTGGACCCCTTATTTCTCTAGTTTACAATACAAGAATAGAAGTTGTATGTCATAAAGAAATGGCCAGGCTGCAATATCACTCAAGCAGCTAGTTGGTGGATTTAGCAATGTTCTGTGTATAAGTACTAGGTTTCTTATTAGCTCTCACAAACAAAATTGGCGGGAAAATATTGCGGGACGAGTAAACTCGTGGCCGGCAGTGGGACAGCATTTTTTATTTTCTGTTGCAAGTGCGAGTTTTATCATCCACTTTTTGCATGGGTTGCGCTATATGTTAAGCAGGCACCCCCACTCATGCAATCGAGTGTACTGCGGCAAGATAACCAACAAACATACATCCGTTATTCGTACGCTACCGTCTATGTGTACTGCATGTTCCTCGAACTTCTAGCCATTAAGTCTGTGGTTCTACAATATATAACAAAGAAGTCATAAACGCTAGAATGTTACCCCTTAGCAATATCCTGTGGGATGAGTATACTCGTCGCTGGTAGCCAACGACGTGTTATGATGATCCCCACTACAGATTGTAGTAGGCTGCCCTCAATCAGCCTGTTCTACCTCTTCTCCAGAGCTTGAGAGGCAATTTTGGAAATCAGAGGTACTAGCTTAGAATCAAGATGATGATTTCAAAATATGAAAAATCCTACAAATTATATTACTGTACAAGAAAATTTCTGGCCATTTGTATTTAAAAAACTATATTAAATTATGTTACATATAAAAGACGGATGACTAATTACATAAAAGACTAATTATATCTATATAATTGTATCAAACTGGAGAAATAGAAAAAAATCTTAGAATTGCACCATGTTTATCAAGTTATTATAAAATCCAGTATATCTATGTTGATATCGCTGTGGATAAGGATGAATTTTGCGCTGTGGTCAAAGCTGAGTGTTGCGATACCTCTGTGTTGAGTTGATCTTGATTCATGAATAAGTGATCTTTTGTGACAAGAGTTAATAAAGAAGCGTTCTCTTTCTTTACAAGATGATTCTTCGATTCATGAGTTAATGCGTCATCTGATGCAGTCAATACCTGCGCTTTGAAAAGTAAATCATGCGTCCTGCTTGAATCAACAACACTGTTGAGGATGGGCTTGACACCGAAAGAATTTGCTTGTACTGCGGATAACATTTGCGGAACTGGAAGGTACTGGTGTGAGAAACCAAACACCGGTGGTAAAACCGGTGAGGTCCTCGTTGGTAGCACTGGGCAGACCACGAGCTGGTCTGGTAACATAACGTCCGTATGCGGTATAACAGCTTTAACTGGCTTTGACGATGGGTTTTCTGGCTTAGAAACATAGTGACTATGAGAACGTGCATGTTTACGTAGCGAGCTTGGATCTGTGTAGCGTTTGTTGCAGTCCGGTGCTTTGCAAACATACGGTTTATCTTCAACGTGCGTCCTGGTATGTTTAAATCGATCACTGGAGTTGGAGTAGCGTTTGTTACAACCTTCTACTGGACACGCATAAGGCTTCTCTCCTTAGAAAAAAAGATATTTTAATAATGAATAATATTTTGGCTAAATAGTAAAACATTAAACATTCTTATAACAACATAATCATTCTTTCATACGGCCTGCCTGAATCAAAAGTTAGCTCTCAAATCTTAACATAACGTTCTAAATCTTGTGATTTCTTTCTCTGAAAAAGTATTTCTCTGTCTCCCTCTCACATGATTTGCTATGTTGTGACGTTGAATTAAACTTCTTTTTTTTTTTCTCCACAATATTTCTCTTATTGGATTGTGTTTACCTAGGTGTGTGTGTGTAAGTTTAGGCCTATACATGTAGTACTGTACAGAAAAGTAAGTCTGTATTGCTGTATCTGCTTGTATTTATATTAAGTACAGTAGTTTAATTTAAGTTTAATTGTTAAGTTATGATAAGAAGGGGCTTTCAAATTGTCTGCTTGTGCTCTGTTGTATTTTTTTTTAAAATGCAACTTCTTTTTTGTAATTTTGTTGGTCTTGAACGCGCCATCAATTGACGATTGCCACTGTAACAATAGTGTAAGTTCAATAAATTATTATAATTGCTTTAATTAACTTCTATTTTTGTTTAAGTTTAAAGAAAGGTTTTCCTTTTATATTATATTAATAATTATAAATTTATTGATGTTTATTTACAATGTTATAAATATTGATATATTGAATGATGAAGTTATAGATATTGACTGATAAATTTGTGGTATAGATACTGATAAAGTGATTGGTAGATAAAACTAGTTATAGATACCGATAAAGTGATTGGTTGATTAATTTGATTCCTCGTACCTGTATGTGATCGTTTGTGGATCTTGAGGTTTTCCGAACGTGAGAAACATTTCTTGCAAATGTGACATTGATGTGGCTTTTCGTTTGTATGTGATCGCACATGAATGCGCATCTTGTACCTGGAGGAAACAAAACCAATTATGACAAAGTTAGGTCAAATGCCAAATGTTAAAGGTACACTTATTTATGATAATGATAAACATGTACTTATTGCACAGATTAAAGGACACAAATTTAGTAGCAGTGCCAGTAGGAGGTCCAAGGGCACTTCTACACAGCTAAGCTATTTATGATAGGCCTAGACCCATAAATAAATACAGTAGTAGTAGTCCAGAACAATGGACTTTCCATCAGGATCATTGTCCCCTAAAGAACTCATACTTGTCGGATTAATGATAGATTGTTATGAAAACTAAAAAAAAATGGCCCGAAAATCTTCACCCTGTCCCAAAGACGATCGGGCCCATTTTCAAAATAATTAGAACTCCATGCTTATATCTTGCACTCAAGGCAACTTACTAGTTGGTGCTACTGAAGTTTTTCATTTAATATGGAAATCTGAAGACATAGTTTGTAGAAATATATTTTATGAACTTAAGAAATCTGGAAAAGTGGTCTTTAATTAGAGGGAGACCTGTATCAAAAAGGAAGAAATAACATTAACAACATCAACATAAATAAAATAGCACGTACTTAGCGTTGAATCCTTTGCCATTTCTAGTGCAGCCAATCCACCGGCAACAATACCCTGTGCCATCATCCAGGAGAATGTGGCTTCGGTTTACGTGGTTCACCAACTCTTCTTGAGTCGTAAACTTTAGGAAGCAATTCAGCCAATCACAGCTTAGAACATCAACCACCTGATTATGGGTCTGCGCCATCCGCGCTGGAATTGGTAAGCCTGTCGCTGTGGTGATGGTCAGCTGGGTTGTACCATCCTGCATAATGCTATTGGGAACTAGATTGGATGGTTCTGAGAGCTGTACCATTGTTGTAACAGGGGTGTCATCTTGATCAGCAGATTTAAACTATAATAAAACAAATATAGATTATGAATGACAACATAAAGATAAGAACCAATCCTATAATTTTGAAGTACTGTAAATTAAATAATTTGACATAAAACCAATAATGACATAGAAGGGTTGATTACAGTAATTTAGGCCAAATAAAAAAAGGTTTCCCATCCCATTTTCAACTAAAGAGTACAATTGTTTACAAAATAAATGCTGTAGAATTGAGAATTGCTACAATAAAGAAGGAGGTTCTCTTGAAATGGACTTGATAACTTCCTCTCATGCTTAAGCCCACTGGGCTAATTTTTCAAGGTTTTACATTATGTGTATTATGACTACAGTATCTTTGTGAAGCTGAAAGGAGAACTACATCCTCACTCACCATATTTACAGTACAGTATTATGCAATTGTGACAAGGATTGGTGAGTTCTAAGATGTGAAGCTTTTCTAGAAAAACTTTTAAGTTGACGATAATGGCACATACACTTTTTTGTATATAAGAAAAAACTAGTAACATTTTGTACAGGCTCCATGTTTCTTTTTATTTGCCGATTACAGGCTCAAAATATTCTTAATTTGTTCTTATTTTCTAGAAAATTATTTTATCAGCAGTATATTACTGTACTGTATTATAGAGGGTATCACATAATCACACCTACTGCAAATAAGGTACAGTTAGATTTATTGCTTTTCCTACTGTTCTATTTAAAAATAAAAACCTCACTTGACATTTTACCTCAGTGTAAATTTGTTCTTATCTTATAAAAAAAAAGTGTATTGTTTTTATGTTAGATTTTATCACACAAGCTTTTAACATCTATTACTGTAATGGAAGCAGCTTTGGCATTTGCATAGCTAGGCCAAGACCCAAGCTTCATCTATGTCTTGTATATTTCTGTCATGAAAAATGCACATGGTTGTTGCCTGGCAACTGTACTACCCGTGGGGTCTTAAAAGTGACACAAGATGGCTACTAAAGCTGTCAATTGAATTTGAATTATGAGCACCAAAGATATCATCACTAATATTTAGAACTGCCAACCCAAGACACCACAGAGAAATTTGAACATCAAGGTCAGACAATCAGTACACGCATGAGCATCCACCTTTTGCACACACCTACATTGTTTTATCTCACGCATCATAACAATTTTTTTTAAATATAAAATGCATATAGACTGATTTTATAATAAAATTTATAAAAATGAAGAATTCGTCACTAAAATGTGAATATAACCCATATACATTTTTTTTCACAACGCTTTACTGACCAACGACTCTAAACACTAGCAGTTCCGCCACTACAATCAAAAAAATATAACATAGAGGGCGCTCTATACAATTTTGTTTTGTCTCGCGCATCAGACTCAAAGAAAGTTGCCAGTTATAAATCAGAAATATATATTTTTTACTAGTCCAAACTATAGACTTAGGATTCTAATTTGCGAACAATAACTCACCTTAATACGTACTTTAAGGGTTATGTCTAACAAGGCGGCTCAAATCCCTGGATAGTTTATCAAATATATTACCAGTTCCTTAGGCATAACAAGTACACCCCCTACTGTACGCCCAATTTTATGTACCAGCCTTTCTTATGCCAAAAGCCCAGCCTATGACTTGAAGGAGCAGGTTGTACCCTTTTCACGCTAACAGAAAATATTTTAACATTAACATGTTGTAACAACTTTGATCTCCACAGATATTTTTCTTTGTTTCACACACACAAATTCAAACCTTACAAAATCTCGGGAGGATAGCAGTAGGCATAGTCTTAGCGAACACGACATTCTGTTGCCTGATAGGTCCCCTTCGATATTTCAGAAGTTTTACGAATTTGCTTTCACACTATATACGCAAACAACTTGATACTAGTTGTTACTATTTGCAAAGAAAGTGGCAGTGTGAATAGGGTATTAGCTAACTTTACAGGTCAAAACAAGTATTAGCTTTGAATTAAAACATGCAGTGCTGAAAAATTGCCCAATTTAATTGAAAGGGGAACAAAATTTTTAAGTGACTATCCTAGAATTTTGAGATTTTATGTCAGTCAGGCTTGGTCAAACAACATTATCATCATCATCATAACGCTTTCAGTATCATATGTGTTGAATCATTATAACATGATATAAAATTATAAAATTCAACAGACTGTAATTTAAGCAACCTGTATTTAGCACTCAAAACTAATTATTAGGTGCTTCAGAAATTTTGTATTTACTGTATTACAGATATATTTGAAGACATGGTAAAAGTAAAAAATGTAAAGGTGTCCCTAACCAAACATATTAAGCTGATTTATTAAACCATTTTAGCAAAATCTTAGCTTAAAATAGTGCATGCGTACAATTGACTCTTTAATTTTAAGCAATTTTTAAGCTAAGTAATATTGATAAATCGGACTAAAGCAAAAAATGGTTACTGAAATGCATTTTTGCTAACTTGAGATCTGCATATGTAGCATCGTCATCACAACCACTGACCACCATCATCAAACAAGACACGGAATGCAATCATAACAGGTTTAAACGTTTTTGTACATCTTTGTACCACACACCTCAAAACCATCCCCCGCAGAGATATTTCTCCAACCATCTTGCCAAAAAAATGAAAATGAGAGTACACTAATGAAATCACATGGCTCTGTTCGTGTTGATGGTATTGGACCCCCTGCAGAGTCACGTTTCGCAAAATTGAGAGAAATTGTAATTCCTGAGTTTGGTCGTCTTCGTTTATTAGGTTAAGGCCAATCCCAAGACCCCCTGCTGAGAACTCTTAAAATTACAAAATAAATTGAATACAGAAATTAGGTATTACTAGTAACAGGAGAATATTGAGGTCATTCAATAACACAAATACAGTAAAATTCAACTCTTCTTAGAAAAAAAAGTTATGGATTCTATTAACGGAAAACATTTATAATGTAAACAAAGTAATAGAGGAAAACATTTATGATGTAAACAAAGTAATAGAGTTTATATTTAACTTAAATTTCAAAACTTGAAATAATTAAATAAAACTTGAAATAAATAAATATGTATTGTCCTGTAAAAAATACCAAAATATATCATAAAAATCAGATTTGAAATTGACTCGTTTTTAAGTTACATGAAAATTATCAACTTGAAGATAGGAATTAATGTATTTAAAAAATGTTTACCCATAATTTTACAGCAAAAAATTATAGAAACACTTTTATTACTTTTATCAAATTCAGTATAAAAATCAGGGTACACATTTTTAAATGCTCAATGTTACTGCAAAAATGGGCAAGTAAATTTCAAAATTATTTTTTTTTTAAATTTTGTTTTGTCATTTTCAGCGAACAATACATCTTTAAAAGCCAACAATCTGTTCTCTATTTAGTTAAAGGTACATTTAATATGGTCACTGGAACTATTTTGATAAAAATCTTACCAAGACCATGGGAAGGGGAACTCTTACCGTTGTCCGCTCTTGGAATTGGAAAATAAAAAATATACAAAAAAAAAGAACTCAAATTTGATTTTTACTGACAAATTTAAGTTGTTTTCTAGTGGCGGTCAAAAAATTTAGTTGACCGACTGTTTACATTTTTTTCTGTATAAATTGCAAGATGAAAAAATACTTACAGAAATCATGTTACTATGATCCAGTTTGAATGCAGAGGTTGTTGATGTTTGCAGTTCTCCAAGAACACTGGAAGATGCGAGCACAATGGAAGAGTCCATTACAGTGGAGGTGGATAAGTCCAAGGGTTTGGCAGTAACTGAGGTACTATGGTTTAGAATACTGTTGTTGTTATCATTGGTTGGATCGTGGATGGAGCCATTTATCAGGAGTAAACCTACAAATAATACAAATGAAAATATCTTAGAATAATAAATAATAATTATTATAATAACAGCAAGAAGAAAAAGAAGACAGGGCAGCTAAAATAAATACAAAAGTAAGAAAATATGACTCAAGTACACAAGCCCTGCAAAACTTAAACTGGAATAAACTTGAAGACCAACTGTATCGAAATGAGGCTATTACATTGTATAAGATATTCCATAATCAAGCACCACCATACTTAAACACATTATTTATCCCTAAGGAAGAAAAATACCATACAAGATCCAATGATGTCTTGTCTTTGAAAAAACCCAAAACGGAGTACAAAAAGCGAAGTTTTTCGTATCGCGGAGCCAAATTATGAAATAGTCTTGAAAGTGCAGTTCAAAATGCAACAAATGTTTATTCATTTAAACAGTTATTACCCAGTGGTGTAAGTTTTGAATTTGTTTATGTTTACTTTTATAAAAATTGTTTAGTAAATGGTGTTCTGTTAATCTTTTTAGTATTTTATCAATATCACAGCCTTATAGAAGGACATCTTCGGGTGATACAAGCTTTTCCGTGTTTAAACAAAGCCTTTTGTTTTTAGTATTATTATTATTATTAAGAGAAGGAGAAAGAAGTCAAGGAGGTGAATAATAATCAGTAAAATAAAAATTGAAATAAATATTTTAAATAATATATTATTATTGAGATTTTATCCCCCTGCCGATAGCAGAATACACCTCACAAACCAAACCCCTGCTCATCCGAAATTTATTAGAGAAGAAAAAAATTATGATATAATAAACAAATAATAAAAAAGGGGTTTCATCCTTCTCGTTTCTCTAAAAATCTGGACAAGAAATTGGATTAATTTAAAATTTGGCCATAGAGAAAACAATAGATATCAATTTATTCAAAATATTGAACAAAAAAAAACCAAAAAATATCTTAAATGGAGATGTACAGTAGTTTGTTGAACCATAGAGGTATACAACTGTGAACATTTTACTCCATTCCTCAACCTTCATTGAACGTGATCTGATTGGCTGATTCTCTTTGTCCCAATTAAGGAAAGCTTCTTAGGGATTTATCATGACAGATCCAATAATCACAAGAATTCAATTGTGGGATAGAAACTTTACCATAGGGTGCTGTTTGGGACATTGCTATTTATGTTTTTAAAATGGCACTAACGGTGCCCTGTATAGGATGCATTATCTCGAAAGCTCCGATGAAGGCAACATAACAGAGGCAGTAGAGTATTAGCCCTAACGGCCACCCACACAAAAAAAGATCTATTAATCAATCAGCTAAGTGTTTTTAGAGCTCATCATTGGAGCTAAAGTCTCTGAATTGAATAAAATTCATAGATTTTCAATAATTGATAATTAAAATAGAATGAGAAAATGTTCTCCTCTGTAATTACCAGATGCAGAGCTAAGCAGTGGTGTATCTAGGGGGCTTGTGTGCACACTC